CCTCATTTGTTACTCCAAACTCAGTCAAAATAATATACAACAGCACTTTCAACTCACTGATAGTTCAACTTGCTGTGAAAATGCCACCAATACTGGGGAATTGATGTTGAATACGTGGACTCTAGGCAGACTTAGATTCATATGACGGACTACAGCTACCACATACAGTACTTTAGCAATGTGCCATTGATTGGCGTCACACATACACCCATGCACCTCTCTCACATACAGAATGCGGTTCTGTCTCTTATTGCACCAGTGTGATGAAATTAAAATAACTTGTAGCACTGACCAGTTTTCTTGTAGCATGTGCTACATATATGTTGCAATGTACAGCCCTGGTTAAAACATGTAACATACTCATGTACACACAAATCTACATATCTACAATTAAGTATTTAGTGATAACAAAACTTAATAACTGAGTGAAACCCACCCAGACACACTCTTAGTAGATGTTATATATTTTCTGATTGAGACTGAATTGGAAAGAGGGGCTTGTGGGTTGACCAGGGTTTCTTCTCCATGTGTGTCTCAGTGTGACTGTTAACTTGCAAACATTTTCCTGTATTTCGCATGTCAGTGAAATGCTCTGTTGCTGTTACCGCCCTTCATAGTAGTCCCAAAATAGTACAGTGATTATTGTTCTAGAAGCCCAGCTGACCCAGTTTGAGGAGTGTGTGCACATGGCCAGCATTACTCACGTTGTGGGGACTGAAAGCCTGTTTACACTCTCACAGTATGGGGACTCTGCCCTCTCGGCCTTCCTCACTGGTCTCTTCCATGCAAATCACAGAATTTTAGAGTGAAGGCTTGCTATAAGGATAGGTTAAGTGTCCAGGAATTGAATTTAACTGCCCACAAGGAATGAAAACAAATTTGTGTGTATGTGTATGTTGTTGTAGGGTTTGTTTATTTCTGAGAGTAGCAACCTTTCTGTTACTTTGTTTGGTGTGGTAAGAGGTGGTGGGAGTTTAGGGCAGCTTGAAGTAAGTGTCTGGAAGTGAAGTGGGAGTTACAATGAGCCATAGGAGAGAGGAAAGGGGCTGTGGTTTACTATGTCTTCCTCCATACACCAGTAAAAAGGGGAGCAGTACATCCTCTATTGTTGTGTGCCTCTCTGGTTGGCTGGCTAGTTGTCTTGACTTGACTGACTTGATTGGAGGGATATAAATAGCAGTCTTTGAATAGGATAACTGCAGAGGAAAGGGAGGAGGGCTGGGGGGAGGGGCAGGGAGATGGAAGTGGCGCCAGGGAAGATAGGAGTGCCAGTGTCTCAGAGTAGAGCAAAAATAACGCAGCCATGGTCTCATCTGTTCACTCAGTCAGTCACAAGGATGATCATACTTCGATACACTCAGAAAAGAGAGTGCATGGAGGAGAGAAGTGATGGATAGAATATATGACGAATTTATTGGCCTGTGAAGCTTAAGGCCTCTCTTTGTGAAGGAAGGCCGTGGATAGTAATGCACATATTGTTGGTGTGTACTTGCACAGAGGATAAAGTAGACAATGAGAACATAAAGCACATTAAACTGTACAGAACTTTGTTTTATAAGTTCATAATTAAACCAGTCACTCATACCAGGTAGATTTGTAGTTGCTGCTGTTGTTGTTATGATCTATCTTCTTAACTATATCTATGGTAAGAATGCTATGAATTAGGGCACAGTAGGGCCTAAAATTGCAAGGGGTGTCAAGCTATGGAGGCAAGTAGCTGTTTAGGTTTTTGTTGAGACGTGCCAGCCATGTTCCTGATGACATTCCTCAACTATTCCCATTCCTTGCTTAGTATGCCATACCGCTGGAGTTCCAGTCCACCAATACAGTGAGGAACAGAAGTATTTGAACACCCTGCGATTTTGCAAGTTCTCCCACTTAGAAATCATGGAGGGGTCTGAAATTCACATTGTAGGTGCATTCCCACTCTGAGAGACAGAATTAAAAAAAAAATTCAGGAAATCACATTGTATGATTTTTAAAGAATTTATTTGTCTTGCACTGCTGAACATAAGTATTTGAACACCTGAGAAAATCAGTGTTAATATTTGGTACAGAAACCTTTGTTTGCAATTACAGAGGTCAAACGTTTCCTGTAGTTCTTGACCAGGTTTGCACACACTGCAACAGGGATTTTGGCCCACTCCTCCACACAGATCTCCTCTAGATCTGTCAGGTTTCGGGGCTGTCGCTGAGCAGCGCGGAGTTTAAGCTCCCTCCAAAGATGTTCTATTGGATTGAGGTCTGGGTGTTCAAATACTTCTGTTCCTCACTGTACTTAGGCTAACTTGTGTCATAGCTGATCTAACTAGTGTACCTCTGTTGTTTTAAGAAATAGTAGTTTCTCCAGAGATTATCAAACATGCTTTGAAGCATTTGCTCTTAGGGTTCAGGCTGGAGAACAGATTATCTGTTTTCCTGCCACAGCTGCAAACTCAGTCTGTGATCCTCCCTCTCAAATGCTCTTCCTGCAGAGCAGGGTGTAATGGTTGAAAATAGACTGCTTGATCTGCTGCTAATGGCTGCATTGTCTGGCAGGGTGTAAATGTGTTTTCAAAGAAACGTAGTAACCAGGTGCTAACTTCTCACACCAGCTCTTTTTTTGGTTCTCTTTCTTCCAGACAGTTGATGACGATGCAATGGCAGCGTGAATGAAGCTTGGCGTGGGGAGAGCTGAACGATGCCCAAAGGTGGGGGTTCTAAAACCCCCCAGCTGGACCACTTCCCACTCAACACCGACATGGTGGAAAAACAAGGTGGGAAGAAGGTAAGACTGAAAACCCTAGAAACACAGAGTGCCCAGTTTATATTGATGTACAGCATACTGTATAATCCCACTTTCAATTTCTGTTGTCCTTGAAACCTAACACTGTACAGCTACATCTGTTCGTCAGTTACTCAGGCCAAGTGCCCTAAACAGAAAGTATCTGTCTTTCACCATGATACTGGAATGTGTACAAGTTTCAGTGATGCTGTTCTTGCTATTGATTCACTGCTTTGGCCTTTTTTGTATTTTTTTTTTTTAAGTCTCATTTGTGTGATGTGTTACCAGTGACTGTTGACCACCTGGACACAGATTTCTAGTAAATATTTCCCAACTTCACCAGGATCATTTTAGTGCACAATTATGCAATGGATTATTGTTTAATGGGTTGTTGGATACTAATGAACAGTGTTTGTCTCGTTGAAAATTAGGTAGTAGAAAGCAATTAAAACATTCAGTCTTGAAAAGCAAGCTATGCAATAAACATCCCATTAATCTGACATGGGTGCAGTCATGTTGTTTTGCAGTGGAACAAAGTGTTGGGCGCAGTTTGATGATGTCATGGTGTGTGCCAACTGTTAAACTACTGACAGCAGCACCATGAGCAAAGAGAGGAGGTACAGCTTATGCAGGCATGGATTTACAGCCCTCTGCAAAGGATTGCATCAGACTCTGGCATGAAGGGAGGGAGGGAATGGAGCACACAGGGGTGGGTGGAAAATGGAGTGAGACGAAAAGAGCCGGCATTGCTAGAAGACCACCATACTGGGTGTGTTGTTAAGGCAGATATGTGGAAAGTCTGTAATTGTCAAAGCTTTTTTTAAAATTCAATTCAGCAAAAAAAAAAAAAACTGCCCGGTGTGTAGATGAGTCTTTTATTGTTTTGACCATTTCTGCCAGTGCATTTTAGCGCTACATTTACTCCTGTATGTTTTTGTATTCCTCTCTTAAAGCATTCGGTTCCTCACATCTTGGTTGCCCCATTTAACTATTAACTGGAGCTTTTGCACATGCACAGATGTGTGTATCATACCTGTGTGAATTGTGTGTTGTCTCACAGAAGCCTTTGTGTGATTAAGTGGGGAGACAGACCAAGAGAAGGGAGAAAGAAAAAAAAAAAAAAGACAGATCAGCTATCTGTAGCTGACACTGTTTGTCTCTACTGTACCATGACATCATAGTCTTGTGACTAGGGCAGGGCAGGGGGAGGAGTTCAAAGAGTCGACAAATAATGAAAAACCTGCCCTGAGGGTAAAGAGAGATGTGTGGGGGACTGAAGATAGGACTGTGAAATGAAGTGTGATAAAGCGAGTGTGTGTGCATTACATCTGACCTGCTCCTGCATCTCTATTATGAGCTCCTAAGAATACTGTACGTGAAGCATAGTAATTAAAAACATTTTGACCTCATCCTAAAATACACTAATTTTTTGTATGCTTACATAATAAGGATAATCACCTTTATTGTTTTATATCTTTACACATTGTTTTGCATGTTTTCAGAGCATTTCTTTAGACATTAGGATTGAGCATACTCATAAATACATCAGGGATTTACAATGGACTGAATCATTGGTGGTGGAAATTCCCTTTTCACTGAGTGTACTGATGTTTTTATCCATTTACAGTCCTAGTTCTATAGTGAGTATCTGCCATGGATCTAATATGAATAGCACTGAGAATGTAACATTGTTACATCTTTGATGATTTTTTTTATAATACTTTCCTTCACAGTTTAATATGTTTTTTACTTAGTATGACTTTTTCAGTTTTCTTTTAACTGAAGTTGCTATCTAGAATAAGCAAGTCAGTATTATTAACAGCTCACAATACAACAAAAAAAACCTCTTTGAACAAACATAAGTATTTACTTCTTTTGATAGCACATAGATTTGGGAATGTGTTTGTTTCCAGCAGCCATAGACCACAAAGCCGAGTCAGCTTAGCCTCGCGTCCCTCTGCCTGGGTCTTTGAGCTTTGGCCGGGCGGCCAGGAATCTAGTAGGAAACTCCATGGAAAAGTTTTGCATTTCAAAGCCAATAATGGCTGAAAGAGTCAGGGCAGAGAACAGCATTTAGTGCAGGAGGAGGCTGTGGGATCCACATTTAGCTCATACATGTCTGTTTCTGTTGGCCAATGTTTCATTTGAACTTTATATACTTTCTCTTCAGCAAAATATACAGTCATGTTAAATACTCTCAAATGACAACAAAAAACACAACAGATTTCAGTATGTTGTTACTGTTTCCCAAAAGTAAACCATCATTCAGAAACCAGGTGGAAAGTAAAAGTAAAATTACAGCCTATAATTCAGTAACATGTAGAACCATCCTTAGCAACAATAACTTGAGGTAAACATTTTCTGTAGGAGTTTGAGTCTCACATCGTGTTAGAGACATTCTGGTGCACTCTTCTCTACAACTTCGCTTCAGTTCACTGGTGTTTGTTTATGCACAGCTCTCTTAACCTTGCCACAGCATCTCAATGGATTTGAGGGCTGGACTTTGACGTGGCCATTCTAATGCCCTGATTTTTTTTTTTTCTTTCTTTTTTTAGCCATTCAGTTGTCGATTTGCTGATGTGCTTTGAATATTGTCCTGTTGCATGACCCAGTTTTGGCCCAGCTTAAGCTGCTGGACAAATGACCTCACATTGTCTCAAGAATATTCTAGTATAAAGTGGAATCCACTATCATCTTAATGACTGGAACGTTCCCAGGTCCTGTGACTACAAAATAAGCCCAAATCATCACCCCTTCACCACCATGCTTGACAATTGGTTGGAGGTGTTTATGGTAATATACTGTGTTTGGTGTTCAACAATCACGGCGTTGTACAACCAAACAGCTCCACTTTGGTCTCATCAGTCCAGAGTAACATCATAAATCGTTTTGTCGACATGATTTAGATCACTGTACAAGCTCAGTCTCATGTGACAACGATTCTGTCGTGTTTACAGAGGTCCCTTGCATCAAACTAAGCTCTCCCTTTTCCTTGCTAAACTGCATTAACTAATGACTGCAAAGTGATTTATTTCTGCCTCAACTGCTGCTTGGCGCTGGATGTATAGGACAGGCAGAACAATGCTTGAAAAATAGTTGCAGGAGGGCACAAAATATCTTTCATGAGGTCAAACATGTTAGATTTGTTTTTGAATCAGTCTTCCTGTCTACAGCTCATCACGTGATTTAACGCATTCCTGATGTTGTTTAACTCAG